TTCACATGCACATGTGTACACATAAACATCCCAGCTGTGTAGAGATGAGATCTGGCAGATAGAGAGAGAGTTAGTGAAAAAGGCAAAGAAACAGAAAAAAGTTTCCCTGTGTTTGACAGCATGAGAAAAACCCTCTCACTGATGCTTATACAACACAAAGGCCATTAGCTCACTGATTGGACTGCTTTAATTGAGTGTTTATAGAGTTTTCTTGCTATTTTGGTGGAAGTAAACAGATTGATTTTTTCTTGCACATACAGTACACACCCACAAATTCTAAATCAGTGCTTACTGATAATATCTGTGTTAGATGCATCATAATTCTGTCAGAGAGAAACCATGCAATCCAGAGTTTTTTTAAAAAAAGGTTTTGATTACATTTACCAACATTTAGATCTAGAACAGCCTGGGCCTTTCAGCCAAATTACACTAATTTCAGCCCCACTGAAGTATGATAATAAATGCACGGGAAATTCATCAGTTTTTTTTTTTTTCTATAACTGTACAATCCAGTGGTCAGCCTAATCTGGGAACCGGTAAAGCACAACTGTGGAGATATATGCATGTGCATCCATTTTTTCATGAGTTTTGACTGAATCACTTGAGATAATAACTAAGGCAGCCTATTACAGGAACCTTTACTGAACACGTGCATAAAGCAGCAGCCCACAGAATGGCAGTCTATTAGCTGTGGTCTGCTGCATCCTCAGGGCAAGAACAGCCGGATATTTGCACTTCTGTCATTAGCATCCTCTTGTTTTTCATATATTATGTAATATTATTGTGTTAACTGTCTAATACGGTAATGCCACTGAAAGATCACATATATATCGATCGTTTCATGCAGCATGAGCACAGTTCATCCATCTCTGGCTTCTGCACCCTCTCTTCATCTTGTGTTGCTTCAGATATTTGTCAGAACTGACATTATTGATCCTAATGTCTTCTTACTCTGTTCACTGTACATTAAAGTCCATCTTTCTGCTCACCTGGCCTCCTCTTCTGTCAGCGACCGACCGCAGGATATGGAAGCAGAAAGATCTGATGGCATTTATACAGAGAAGTCTTTAAATGCATTGCACATTTTCATGCTTTCAATAAATGCTATGATAGATAAACAGTTTATAATAGCTCAGTTTGAGTGATGACACTATTAGCCCACTACATTTACAAAGCAATGCTGGAACTTAATGTGTATTTTATCACACATGGTTATGTAAGGAATGAAGAATAACCAACTGCAAAGTAAACCTTGGCAGGCTCGTACAAGATCTTTATCACCCATCTGGGCTTATTTTTTATTTTATGCATAATCCCGCATATTACATACATGGCTCATACCAAATAAATAAATAAATGGACATGCACCATTACAAGAAACATAATATGAGCTGTTGTTTGCATTGGACGACAGTCAAATTTGCCACCAATGAATCAGAAACATTCCAGTATTCCAGAGAGCCGTGATGTGAACAAACACATTGCATCTGTTTTTATATTTTGAACAGTTACCCAAAAAATATTGTTACTTTGTTATTTGTGATGTAGCTTGTCTTTTGATCTTCCTATTGCACAAGTAGTTATGTTGCAGTTAAATCAAAAGTCAAGGTAAAACGAAGCAATGGATGAAAACAAATGTTGTTTAGTTACCAATTATGACATTTTTATAGTATGAGACCCCAGATCAAAATATGCTCAATAGTTCTATATTATGCTCATGCAACACTAATGTCTTGTAAAAAGGTCTCCTGTCATTATGATTCAGCCAATATCAAAATATGTTGCCATCCTCCATTCATATTCATAAAGTGCTATAAAGCGAGTTGGTAAACGTTAACACATGTATGATTAATTTCCTGCATAAACAGATAATCACCTACAATGAATCAAAACCGCTGTGCGTGATAAAAAAACAAACCCTGTACAAAATGTGAGCTTGATGATGGTCTGACAGCAGATGAGAAAGCACAGTAATACTTCAAACCATGACTTAATGGTGTACATTAAAGCTTTTACTCCAAGCGGTGCAGGGCAAAATGCTGAGTTGCGTAGTGCGTGTCCTAATGGGCTTCATTGTGGCTGTATCTCTCTCTCCTGGAGCCCAGAGAATCGATTTCTCCTCCACCACAACCTGTATGAATGTATTTTACGTCATCTTTTTATTTTTCTGCAGTCCACTGAGAAAGCAGCCCACTGTAGAGAGGTTATTTTATAGCTGACCCAAAACGTCCTCACAAAAACCTTCTTGGGGCAGTGGTTTAATGCATCACCTAGACACCGCCAAACTCACTCACCTTGAGGATCAAAAAGTAAGTGCAGCATTTATCAGAACTGAACTTTCCTTCCTCCTCGGTTTAAGTTGCTTGCTGTTTGATGCCTTTTTGGTATCCAGACTGTGGACTTTGCAAACTGGGACTGCATTACACCTTTAAGATTTGGACACCCACCTCAATAAAATATATTAAATAGGCCTTTCATTATCAAACCATGTCAACAAATGGAAAAGCCGCAAGATATTTATTATGATGTCAATTATTGGGTCTTTAGCCAAACATCAGGGCACTTTTACTCCAATACCATATTCTCCAGTTAAAGGGGTCATAGGATGCCCATTTTCCACAAGTTGATATGATTCTTTAGGGTCTTAATGAAAAGTCTGTAACATAGTTTGGTTAAAATTTCTCAATGGTAGTGTAAAAAAAACACCTTTTTTACCCTGTCAAAAACAGCTCTTTTCAGATCAAGCCGTTTTTGTAGCATGTTCCTTTAAATGTTAATGAGCTCCGCTGACCCCGCCCCTTTCTTCCGAGAGAGACTGTTTACTTTAGCCGCATTCATGGTGAAACTTGCTAATTAGCACATTATTAGGAAAGGCGATTTGCAAAGATTCATTACAAAACATTATACTCACTTCTTCTGTTGGTGAAGCAGGATCACGAATGATTCGCGCGAACATAGACGCATTTATGTAGATCGGGGGCGCATTCCCTTCAAAAACAAACATAATCCACTGCATCTCAGCGGCTCAGATGTCGGAAGTAAATGACGACTGCTATGTTCATTATTACATCCAACAACACCTCAGTCGCTTGTTAGGAGTCATTCTTGTCTACATCTGCTCCAGCGGTGAAACAATGGCGGACTGATGGGGTGGATTTTTATCATTATAGGGTGGTTGTGTACACACACTGCCAACACACATTTCAGTTCAAACAACTTGTAAAAGTGCATGTAGCGTCCTATGACCCCTTTAAGACTATTGAATTACTTTGAACAAAAACCAGAGACATGTGTCTCAAAATATATTTGGTAATTTAACGACTACATAAATCCACAACATTTTAAAACCATTAAAATGAACCTAGGACACAGCTGACTTTATGTTTCTGCCCGCGATCGCATCGAGGATCAGCTGAATATTCAGATAAAAATGAAAGTGCTGTGGTTATGGAAAATAAATCTGCCCTTTGCCTCAGTGCTCATTTTACTCCACTCTATCCTATCATCTAAAAAATACAACTCAGACATTCCCACCTGTAAATACGACTTTGCCAGGTCATTCATGTTCTTGGAACTCGTAATTGCGATATTTCTGAGTTCACCTGAAGGGCACATGCGTTATTCTCTCGGTAATATCTTTCCACAAACAATCATATCCTTCCGCGATCTCAGTGTCTTTGTGCTAGACATTTATTTTCCAGGCCAAATTGGGTGTGATAGTCTCTCTCTCTCTTTCTCTCTCTCTCTCACACACACACACTATCAGATATGACACTGATTCTAAAATGATTCCAAGTACTTACAGTTTTTTACGATTGCTTAAGCACAATTTTGAAAACAGGGCCCGGTTTGTCAAAACACTACACACAATTAACACAACCCTACACCAAAGTAGCACAACACTTCAGATAATTTGCAAAATGGAACACTTTTGTCACAACTATACACAACTTTATAAAAACAATATTTTGTTACCATACGAAACACACACATTTCATATGACTTTAATCTTTTTGAACCAGTTACACACCGCTGTTGCTAACTTAAAACACTTTTAGCAAGTCTAATTCTCAGTGATTAGAGTACTGTAAATGAAGTACACAGAGAAAGTGCAACTATACAATAGTTCACCAAACACTACACAAGACCAATGCTGCAGACTGACAAAAATATCATTGATTTCTCTCCATATACCCAAATCAGTCAACATGGAGAATCACAACAAAACATGTCCCAGTTGTCATGCTACTACAGTAGTGTGCATAACACTGTTAGCTCAGCAAACAACAGACAAACGTAAAATACTGTATCCAGTACAGGTTACAATTACAGTAAACAACAACAACAACAAACATAAAAAATAATCTGAAAAAAACTGACAATATTGTACAGAAAATACTACAGTAAACATACTGTTTTGCAAATAGTGTGAAGCTGACAATGTGCTTACAGTTGTGCAAATCTAGCCTTGTGTTTTGCTCCTTGAGTGTAAGGTTTTGCTAATTGTTGGAAAAGTTTAATTTTAGTGTGTAAGCAATCGTAAAAAACTGTAAGCATGCAGCAGCATTAATTTTAGAATGAAGCTACAAATCATTACTCTTTACAATAGTGTTTGTGATTAGACTTCTTCAGAAAGAGAATGTTTGACACACACAGACACACACACACAGACACACACACACACACACAGCTGCAGAGAGACAGTCAATCCTATCACACTTTAACTCCAGGATAAATCAGACTTCTTACAGTAGGCAAGACTCGAACCTTGAACTTTGGCCCAACAGTGTTTGCTTTTAGATACTGTTTTATGCTGCAGGATACGGAAACAGACTGAGAGCGGACAGTAGCGTGACATTACTTTACAAGCATATATTTATACTCATAGTTTATATACGCCTTGCTGAAGCTATAAGATGTGTAGCATTTTAAAAGTAGGACAGATCATAAACTTGTGTTTTTCTTTAGTACTGTCCTTAAGAAGGGTAAGATTCAATTCATTACACTAAAACAGACAGTAATATATAAATTAACTGGTCAAAGATATTATTTAATATCACTGAACCACTCTATATACATTAATTTATATCAGCAAAACTAATGTTTATGAGTAAAATCAGATAGAAATGACTCTTTAACATACCACTTTTTGCTGTAGTTAATGCATTATATCATAAACTAACAATGAACTGCACATTTTACAGCATTTTCGGCAACACTTTACAATAAGGACCTATTAGTTAATGCATTAACTAACATTAACTAACAATGAGCAATGCATGTATTACAGTGTTTTATTTGTCTTTGTTAACATTTGTTAATGCAAATACAGCTGTTCATTGCAAGTTAATATTAGCTCAGTAATATTAACTAGTACAACTACGGATTTTAAGTAAGTGTTGAAATGAACATCAACTAATCAATGCTTTGAAGTATTTTTCAATGTTAGTTCACGTTAACTGACGACTAATGTTAAAAAAAATGGAACCTTATTGTAAAGCATTACTCTAGATTAATGTTAATTCATACATATGATGTAAATGCCAACATGTTTCAATACGAGCTTCTTCAGGGCAGTATTGATATAAAATGTTTTATAGTCCCTCTTGTTTCCAGATATATGTCTTGCAGATTCTCCATTAGGTTGTAAACTTATGATCTGAGCTGTAGTTATGAAATATAGCAATTACATACATTATGGTTGGTGTGATTTGCATGACCAAAGACCTGGCGATTCGTAGGCAGTGCAAAGCACCAGGTAGACGTTATTTACTGCAGACTCGTTACATCATCTTCACAGCTACGTCACGGTCGCTGCTAACGAGCGGACTGAATCTGAGTGTTTTTCCACTTTCTCTATCTGTCCCGTTATCACAGCAGAGCTCTCTCTTCTTGAAGAAACGGATTACTAATGATCCACTCTCCTGGCTGTGCAACACTGATATAATAGTTCTCGCAGTGCATAGGTGTTATCACATTAGAGAAAGCCCAAGAGAGAGTGAGAAAACCAGAGTGCTGCATAATGAGAGGAAACATGGATCATTGGGGTTTCACTACCTCCCGTATAGCTATATTATATTTCTTCATGAAGATTGCTTGGATAATATGTAGCCTTAATGAGCCAAATTTCCTTTACATTGTATTTGTATTTTCAGTTCATGCGCCCCGAATAAATCTGCAGTGTGTTGATGTCAAATCATTCACTAAATGCTGTGAGATAATTAACTCACTCTACAATAACTAAAAGTCCAGACAGAGAGAAAAAGAACAAATACTTAAACACCAGTCAAATTTATTTGGCACACAATTCTACACGGATATAGTGACATATTTCTAGAAGAATCATTCTTTGTATTTTGGTAATGATAGTTATAGTGGGTAATAATAACAATAAGCACATTGTATTCAGTTCATTATTGCTTTCAGACAAAGGTCTACTGATGACATGGGTGTACAGTTCACTGCTGTAATGCTGTAGAAACAGATCCACCTTGTGGCCATTTATGAAACAACTGAAAACATTTGAATACATATTTTTTTGAGCTAGATTGATTGTGAAATCTGTTTCTAAAACTAACTAAGGGATATTTGCCTTTGGGAGAAATACATTTTAAATGTTTAAAAATTAACTGAAAAGCTATTGTTGTTTTCTCTGTAAATCTCAAGGTTTACTTTTAGGACAGTTTGCCAAAAAGAGTCACGCAATCATCAGCTTCTCTAAAAATCTCCTCACATTGCTATTAGACTTCAGTTTGCTTATGTTTCAAAGTAGACCCTTTTTCAAAACATAAAATGCATTACAGATGTCTATATATCCGTATGGTGACCCAAAACATAGAGCAGTGTGGTTTACAAAGGCTGGTTTTATTTATTTATTTGCTGTTTTATTTATTTGCCATAAAAGCAGTGACCTTGATTTGTGGTAATGGATTAGATTGAAATCAGTGATATACTGGAAGTCGCTTTGGATAAAAGTGTCTGCTAAATGAATAAATGTAAATGTAAATGTGTTAATATCAGGTTGAGGACATGCGTGACTTTCACATCATTCTCTGAGAGTGCTTTAATATAGTGTGAGTCGCAGAAATGCTCCTATTCACATTCCCTGTAAAAACAAAGGAAAGTTATAAGCTTTTAAAAGCTTGGCATTTTTATGTGTGTATCTTCAGTGTATTTAGAAAGAAAAAGCGGGCCGATATCGCTCACCGTGACAAAACCAAGGAAGCTGATGGAGACATTTCCGTAAATGTTGATTGTAGTTACTTTTTCCAGAGGGATGCGGTGCTTGAACATGCTGTGCTGTTCGCCTTTTATACGTACCTAACCAAACCAAAACCGCATTACAAGTACAATTTAACAAATATTAGCTTAACATTATGGTCACATCACCATTTGGCAGTTGCAAAAAACCTTTGAAATCTGATTATAATATAATATGATAAAAAAAATGTTGTATTCACTAGACATGTCAACAAATCATATGCAAAAAGCTCATCAGGAAACTGGTTCTTAGCTCTTTTTAGAGTGCTGATAAAGTTGTGACACATACCTGATATCCTTCAGATTTGACGACAAAGAACATCTCGAAAGCTTCTCCCTTTTTAAAGGGGTTGTCAGAGACACTTTCCTCGGCTCCCCATTTTCCGTTCCTGAAGCTGTTCATGGCCACCTTCCGGTCCATTCGAGGACTGAAGTGGAAAGCAATGTCATGCTTGTCAGTTGGCCCAATCTTGAAATTTATGGAAAACCTGCATGGACGTAGAGGCATTATGTTAAATGATCAGAATCAGAATAATTGCTCATCTCACCAACCTCATGATGAACTGAGAAGTGAAATAAAAGAACTACAACAGAGCACATGTTATTTAACATTAATTTAGTGCAAGGCTGGGTCTCTCTTGCATGTTTGGTCCAGTATTATTATAATAATAATATTGTGATGCATTGAGTTATATTGTACTGTGACTATTAACTGCAACATTTATCTTGTCATGTGGTAGTTGCCGTTACTTAAGCCTAATTCAGTGCATATTGGAGGATTAGTTACCGGTCAGCATTAGTGGGAACGACTCCCTGCAAGTACAAGGCCATGCCTTCTCTCAGTCCTCCTGGAATCGGGGCCACATAAGGAAGAGTCTGCAGTAAACACAAGAAAATATGCATCAGTCCTAATCTTGAGGCAGGGTTTAGATTCGTTAAGATGGAAATTTGAAATACAGTGATAGTTAAAGTGCTCATCAGAGTTTTCATGCACCACTGTTTCATTAAATGAATAATAGTTCACCCAAGAATGACAGTTCTGTCATTTACTCACGGTGATTGACTTTCTTTGTTTTGTGAAAACAAACAACAAAAGATATACTAAAGAACTGTTTTTATGAAAATGAGATTCATATGGCTTTGAAATAACATGAGGGAGAGTAAATGACAGAGTTTTTAAGTCGACAATCTCTTTAAATGCTTGCATTTTTTGTGTACATTAATGCAAATTCCATACCAAAATAGTATGCGCGTATCCATCCGATTTTTTTTTAACCATACGATTTTTATAACCGTGTGTACTTTGTATGTGCAAGTCGCACATGCACATTGACCTAGTTTTGCACTATTCAGTTGTTCCACAAGGTGGCAACACTGGCCCGGGCTGTTGTTTCATGTAGAAAATGAAAATAAAGAAATAGAACAACAACAAAATAGCAGAGACAAGCGCTTGTGTAAGGGGGATATGAAAGAGCTGCAACTTCAGTTTGAAACAGTACAAATAAATTTTTATCGGTCATAACTTTTGGAGAACAATACAGCGGATGCTGGACAAAGATTAAGCTTTCTAGAGCATGTGTACACATACAAAAATGAAGTAGGGCTTAAAGGATCGGTTACTCACAGGATTTTGTATGGGCTGTAAGATCTCTGACTTTATTGTGGAAAGTTCCCCATGTGAGCTGCCCAGATATGCAGTTCTTGACTTGACAGCAGTAACAAATGAAGATTTGCTCCAGTTCTATTGAGGGAACAAGAGAGCTTTATTTAGAAAGGTCTTTAATTTCCATGTCATTCTTAATAGTTCTGACACAGTATCAGTCTTGCTGCAATTTTGCCACATGATAATGTAACTTACATGAATTAAGCCAAAAAGGTTCACGACAACATCTCCATTGATATTTAACATTTTCACTTTCTCCAGCGCTATACGGTGCTTGAATGTGTACAGTTCTTTGCCATTCACGTGCACCTGATGAATCGAAGCAACACAACCCGTGTGAAGACAAGGTCCTAGCTCCCTTTTAGGTGTGTACTGCAAGTTTTGTGTCTCAAAACACATACCTGATATCCTTCAGATTTGACAACAAAGAACATATCAAAATCTTCCCCCTTTTTAAAGGGGTTGTCGGAGAAACTTTCCTCAGTTTCCCATTTTCCAGTGCTGAAGCTGTTCATGACCACCTTTGAGCCCATTCGAGGGTTGAAGTGGAAAGCAGTTTCATGCTTGTCAGTTGGCCCAGTCTTGAAATTTATCCTAAACCTGCATTGAAGTTGAGACATCATAATCTAGACAATGACTGGTTTCTCTACATTATGATAAACTGAGATTGGAGATATTGGTCCACAATGAAAGAGTAGATACGTTTTCAACCTTGATTTAAAAATGGTAATAGAAGGTGCAAGGGGGAACCAACTATCTCCCTTAGTTTTTAAACGGGAATGAGGGACAGATAAAAGAGCCCTGTCAGGAGATCTTAAAAGTCTGGTAGACGTGAGAGGAGTAAGAAGGTCTTTAAGATAGAGTGGAGCTTGATCATTAGGAATTCTAAAATGGACTGGGAGCCAATGAAGCGAAGCTAAAACTGGGATAACATGGTCAACAGCCTTGCAGCTGCATTTTGTACCATCTGGAGGCATGCAAGTGATGACTGAGGAAGACCCAAATACAGTGAATTACAATAATCTATATGTTAAGTAATAAAAGCATGAATAACCTTCTCCAAACCTTGAAAAGACAAAAACGGTATTTGGAAAGTTTGGAAATAATCCGCAGTTGATAAAAACTGTTCTTAACAACAGAATTGATTTGTTTGGATAAACATTATTCCATAAGTCCAGGATAACACCAAGGTTCCTAAGCTGGGAGGAAATTGAGGGGAAATGATTGCCAAGCTCCTTAATGAGACCACTCCTTAATTTTGGGGGACCAAAAATAATTGTTTCTGATTTGTCCTCATTAAGTTGGGGAAAGTCATTTGATAAACATTTCTTAAAATCACAGATACATTCCAATAATGGTTGAATGGAATCGCCAGCGTTTAGTGGCAGGTACAACTGAGTATCGTCTGCATATAAATGAAACATTATGCTTCCTAATGATATCCCCCAGAGGACGCATATATAGGTTAAAAAGAAGTGGGCCCAGAATAGAGCCCTGAGGTACTCCACTAATAATAGGGGCAAGGGCGTAAATTTAATCTAACAGTAGAGGGGGACGATAAACATAAAATTTCTCAAGAGCAATTTTTAAGGGGACACAAATAATACAGCCAAAATTGTACATGTAAGGATAGATATGTGTACACAGCATGGGTACATAGTACCGTGTTTAAATAAGAGTTTGGTTCATAGGTTCACCACGCGGTCATATTTAATTTTTTTTATTATTTTGTGTCTTCCACATAGTATTTTAGATTTCGTCTGAGAGTGAGGACGTCTCTTATTTAGATATTCAACCGCAGCAAGCCCACTGATCTGCCTCTTAACATCATATTGAGCAAAACCCAACACATCGGTAGGTCTACAATATTAGCCTAATATCAGTTCACACACAGGCTTATCGCTGTGTCAGAACCATGCAACCATAATCAAATTACTCTTTAAATATTCAAAGTGCAAATAGAGACCACATTTTTTTCAAGCATGATACAGAGCTAAGAGATGGTACTTCTACACAGTACAGCATAAGATAAGTTTGATATTTGGACATACTGTATGTAGTCTAATCAGGGAGCCGCTCTCAAAATGCGAGGAATTGAAATCTTTTTTGAATGCGTGCTCACGTTTTACTTTCGCTTTTGAACTTGTGATCACACGTACTCTGTGTATAGGGAGTGGCAGTGCTGAGCGTGCATTTTACAATATGAGACATTTGTCAGACGATTACAGGCTCTGTTGCGCAATGAATCCTACGCCATGGTCTTATCAGTCATCAGTGAACTCTGATTCCTGGTGAACTGTGTGCAACTCTGCAGCTCGTGCTGGATGAGCAGAGCAGACGCTGTCAGTTTAGAATTCAAGCGACTGTTATCCAACTGAATGAAATGGTTTTTATTTCTATAAAAATCTAAATGCCAGTGGAGTAATGTAATGTAAACGTAGCGGTGGCATATTCTATGCTAATTTCACCCTCACACTGATCATCATGGCAATATCGTGAGACAGCTTTTCACCTCAATGAGAAATCTCATCACATTTTAATATTGCAAGATCTCGTGGTACGAGATCTCGTCACACCCCGAATGGTTGGCATTACCTAAGCATATGTCAGTGCAAATCGGAGAATGTGGACTATTCCTGCCTGAACTATAGTATTGAATTAATTTTGTATTTGGTTGCATAAACACAGCCAAATGAATACTAGCTTACCGGTCAGCATTAGCAGGAACAACTCCCTGCAAGTACAAGGCCATGCCTTCTCTCAGTCCTCCTGAAATTGGGCCCATATAAGGAATAGTCTGTAGTAAACACAATAAAATAGATTTCAGTCTTATATGAATCAGAATGTTGTGGCAGGGGACAAACTCAATTAAACGGAATTTGAAATACTTTGTTTTTTTTGTTGTTTAAAGGGGGTACCGCAAATTGAAAGTATGTCAAAGAAATTGCTTTTGGTTGATACCATTGTATTATGTTTATATAATACAGTAAGTTTCATTAAGAGATAGTTCAAACAAATATATAAGTTTGTCATCTTATTCTCATACTCATGTTATTCTGAAACTGTATGACTGTCTTTTGTGGAAAACAACAGAATATATACTAAATAATGATTTGATTATTTTATCATTACATTGAATGTCAAAGGGGTCCAAAACAACATTGGATCCTATTGATATATGGTTTGGAAAGACAAAATAAAACAAAAAATTATATTCCACAGATAAAAGATCAGTCTCATGGCATTGTAACAATATGAGGATGAGTAAATGATAATAGAATTTTCATTTTTGGGTGGACTACCTCTTTTAAATGTTAGCATTTTATTATGCAGTGAGATATCACAGGAAAGAATTAGTTACTCACAAGGTTTTGGACGGGCCTTAAGACCTCTGACTGTATGGTGGAAAGGTCCCAGCGTGAGCTGCCCAGATGTGTAGATCTTGATGTGACTTTAGTAACAAATGAGGATTTGCTCCAGTTCTACAGTGAGAGAAAGTATTCAAAAAGCTCTTTACTTTTTATGTCATTCTCAATAGATTCTATTAATGCAGAAAATGTTACTTACTTGTATGAACCCAAAAAGATTCACAGCAACATTGCCACTGATATTTAACATTGACACTTTTTCCAGCGGTATACGGTGCTTGAATGTGTACAGCTCTTTACCATTCACATAAACCTGATGAACCAAAGCAACACAACCCATGTGAGGACAAGGTCCTAGCTTTTTTGGGGGTAATGTGAGTTACTGTGAGTATCGATTCTCATAGTACTTACAACGTATCCTTCAGACTTGACAACAATAAACATCTCAAAAGGTTGTCCCTTTTTAAAGGGGTTGTCAGAGACACTTTCCTCTGCCTCCCATCCTCTGTTCCTGAAGCTGTTCATGACCACCTTCCGGTCCATTCGAGCATTGAAGTGAAAAGCAATGTCATCATTTTCAGATGGCCCAGTCTTGAAATTTAATTCAAACCTGTATAGAAGTTGAAATGTGTTTAAGCACCGAATACAATAGCTTTTTGTGCATTTTTTTCAAATTGTCCAAAAATATATTAAGATTCCTTACTGGTCAGCATTAGTAGGAAAAACTCCCTGTAAGTACAAGGCCGTGCCTTCTTTCAGTCCTCCAGAAATTTGGCCCACATAAGGAAGGTTCTGCAGTAAGCACAGGGAAATAGGCATCTGCGTATATTAATACGATTTTTATGGCAGGTTTTGAACTCGACAAATAAAAATATGGAATTTCAACGATATTTAAAGTGGACATCACAATCTTGAAAACGTGGTGAGTCAATTGCTATTTGTTGAAACAGTTCTCATACACTGCTGTTTCATCAAGTGCTAGCACCTTATTGTGCTTTCGGATGTCACTAGAAAAGACCAGACACTCACAGGGTTTTGGACTGGCTGCAAGATCTCTGATTGTATGGTGGAAAGTTCCCCATGTGAGCTTCCCAGATTGGTGATTTTTGTTGTAACTTTTGTAGGAAATACAGATGTGCTCCAGTTCTAATGAGGGAACACAGAAAAGTGACTTTGGAAAACTCTTCACCCTCCAAGCCATTCTCACTGGATTCTGTGACAATATCATTCATGCTGCAACATTGCTTTAGCTGAAGAAGAAAATAACTTACTTGTATGAAACCAGAAACGGTCACAGCAACATCTCCACTGATATTTAACGTTGACACTTTTTCCAGTGGTATACGATGCTTGAATGTGTACAGCTCTTTACCATTCACATACACCTGATGAACCAAAGCAACACAACCCGTGTGAAGACAAGATCCTAGCTTCCTTTTAGCAGTGTGGTGAGTCTCGTTCTCAAAACATGTACCTGATATCCTTCAGATTTGATGACAGTGAACATCTCAAAAGGTTGTCCTTTTTTAAAGGAGTTGTCAGTGACACTTTCTTCAGTTCCCAAATTTCCATTTATCACACTGTTCAT